TATTTATGTAGTCACATAGTTGAGGTTGGAAGGTCATAAACCACTGTGATATCTAAGATTTTTTTTATTTTTTTGCCCCACAAGAACCAATTTTCACCCCTGTGGGTCAGTATCATCACCACTGAGAATGCATGTTTGAAATAAAAAAGGAATGAATTCTGAAAGTAAAAAGTTGTTTTTTTTAATGATGTTTTAACTACTTATTAAATTAAAAGTAGCTTAGTAGCACCTGTTCTGCATTTGGGACCATACTGAAACAGCTATAGGAAATTAAAAAATAATACTCTCTATTAAAATGCCTGTAGCTTTTATAAGACTAAAATGCCTATAGCATTTTACATGGACAGCAATGCTCATACAAATGAATGGGGTTTTAGTAGGATCTGAAAATGCAAAAATAAATCTGGTAGAGGAAAAAAAAAATATGAGAAGTTGAAGAGAAGATGAAAGCTTTATAGGGAGGCAGCTAATCTGTATTTAAGCTTATCATAAAAAGGAAACATGAAAGATAGGGTTGGTAGGCAATAGAATGGAAGGGAAATTGCTAGATAAGGAAGAGGAAGGAAATAATATTAACTTTTCTTTTTGGAGGTGAAAGTTTCTACATAACTAGGTAGCTTTTTTCTGCTTTATTTGAAAAGGAATGATTAAGCTTAGCTAAGTCTGCAAAGTGAGAGGCATGTCAATCGTTGGGGAAAACTGGAAGCTTATACTAGATAGATTAGCTATCTGGTAATCAAGCCATAGGTCTAGGAGGGATCTTTATGTTGCCTGGCCTGTTTTCATCTATTCGGTGTGTTCCTCACTCCCCCACCTTCTGCTTATAAATCTTCAACAGAAGGCTCTTCTCTGAGTTTTCAGCCTTATCTCTTACCAGGCCACCTACACAGACCCTTTTCCCTTGTCAGCTCAGTCTCCCAACCTCCCAGCAGTTCTTGTGGGTTCCCACTTCCTTACTTTTTTTTTTTTTTAAGATTTTTATTGGGGAATCAGGGAAGAGGAACAGACAAGTTGCTGTCCTTTTGTTCTTCAGTCTAGTTGTGGAGGACGTCGCTTCACTGGCCCATGTTGGTATTATTACCTTTGTGCTCTTTCCGGGTGAGGCAGTCGCTCGCCGGCCATTGGACGGCCACTCACGGCGGCTCACTAAAGCTCATGCCAGTTGCCGGCCAGCCCCACTGCAGCCTACACGGTCGCTGGTGACTCACAGCAGCCTAGCTCCAGGTCGAGCTGTTGGTCACCATCTTAGCTGTAGAGGGAGCAGCGTCACTGGCCCTAATGTGGGATCTGAACTGGGGCCCTGCTGCTGGCATCCCAAGCCAACTCCTAACCAACACGCCACTCGGCCAGCCCCCCACTTCCTTACTTTTGCTTGTAACCAATACTTCTATTTGCTCTGCCTTCTCAGTGCTTTATTTTGTACTTTCATACTCTTTATTCCTTTTCATTCCTACTTCCCCACATTGACACTGAGGTATATCACTTTGCCAGTGAGTCTCAGAGAGGCCCCTGACCCCCTGAGGGCACAGCTAGTGTGACGAGAACCCAGATCTCACTCAGAATCTGATGTGCCCTCCACTCTGTGGCCTAAGCCTACCGTTGCCATTTGATTGACATGTTGTAGATCTTTAATTAGCATGTTTTCTACTGATGAATGTGTAGATAGGTACCTTTTTACCTTGAAGATGGATGAATGATGGTAAATATAAATACCAGTGATCTACATTATAAATTTTATATTTTATCCTGCTCATTTGTTAGCATGTGACAGCAACTGGAAATAAAACTTGGAATCTTTGCTTTCTGTCTACTACTGTTTTGGTATTGTTCAAGAGGGGAGCTAAATGTTGACTCCACAATATGAATATCTTACATGTTTGTTCTATATAGTACACTGTGCGTATTTGGTACGTGCTCTAGGTAAGTGAACACATATAAATAGAGGCCAACATGTTCGCAGGCAGTGCTGGGTGTGATGCTTCATGAAAGCATCATTTGCTGCACTTATTTTTGTATCCACAAACCTATCCTGGCCCTGGAACATGGTTGGTGCTTAACACATGTTTGTTGAAGCAAAGGAGCTATTGTTTTTCTCCTTCTCCATATGAGGAGTCTGCCAAGAGCATAACAATTCTCCCTTCTCTGGGAACTCAGAATTGGTGTTGGCTGTTTTCTGCCTGCACTTCCACACCCACCCTAGCAATAGCTCACTGAACAGGGTCAAACACCTGACCAGAGCTGGGCCAGATCCCAACGCTGAGATTTGGAATTCAGGCCCCGAGGGATGGAGGGTCAGCCTCTGAGGCTAAACCCAGAACATAGAAAAATACTGGAGCTGTTACAGAGCTGTTTTGCGGGATGAGGATTGAAAAAGCTAGACTTCCAAGATAAAAGACTGAAGCCATTATAGAGAGATGAGCAGACAAAATATGGAAAGAAATTCCTGGGGACTCCAGCCCATTTCTAAGTCTTGGTTGCATTTCTGCATTTAATTCAATGAGATACCCTTGTGTTCTCACAATAAATTCCCTTTTGTGTTAAAGTTGGTTTAGGTTGGTTTTGATTATGTGTAACTGAAAACTTCTATATCAAAATATCAGGTTTCTCATTTCAATGAAAGAAATTATACTAAATATATCTATATATATCTATATATATCTATATATCTATCTATCTATCTATCTATCTATCTATCTATCTATCTATATATATATATGAAGAGACCAAACAGTTTAAAAGTTATAAACAAATCACTTTGGAATGTTATATGTTAAAAATAGATTTGGGGGGGTTGATTAAATAATGCACAGAGGGGCTCTGTGCATTGCTAGTTTTGAAGTAATAGGTTATTTTTCCTTCAGGATGAAGTAGGACTATGAAGAGAGAAAAACAGTAAAACAAAAAAACAAAAAACAGTAAGTGCCTAAAAAACGTAGATAACAGTCAATGATAAAGCAAAGGACCAAAGAGTTAAAATATGCTCCATAAGAAAACTAAGAGCCATTCCTCCATGCTTTCTGAACCTCCGCTCTTCTGTCCAACCCAGTGCTAAATCCTGTCTGTTTTCCCACCTAACAGTCTCTTGAGTCTGTTTCCACTCTAAGTGGCCGTTGTTTCTCAGGAGGACCCCTGCAGTGGCCTTCTGTAAATGGACTACTGGCAGCCACTCTCGCCACCAGTGTTTCTCCACACTGCGACTAGGAGATCTTGTAAAAATGCCCAGTTGGTCCTGTCTCCCTGTCCAGGTCAGGCTTGTTGAGGCTTCCTTCTGCTCTTCCCCATAAAGCAATGTAATGTACAGCCGCTATCTATCTGTCCAACCTCATCTGTACCCCACTTCCCACCCTGTCTTTGCTCCTGCCATGGGCTCCCTTTCAGTTTCTTGCCTTGCCAGCCTCTCTCCACTGTGGGGCTTTTCCCCAAGTCCTTCTCTCTCCTGGAACAATCTTTTCTGCCACCTTTTCCCAGCTTTCCCTAGCTTCTCTGACTAGATGGATTTTTCCTACTGGAACACTGTGTACCCATCTTTTCTGCTAGATGTCATGGTAGCAGTTTTGCTTTTATTTTTCTTCATTACTTGGTCATCTGTTTATTCTACTAGACTGTAAGCTCCACAAGGGCAGGCAGTCTCTGCTATAGTCCTGGCCCCTAATAGGATACCTAACAGGGGGTTCAGAAATATTTATTGAACAAATAATTATGTGGAAAGGTAGAAGAAATAAAAAGCAAGCAAATAACCGCCCCCACCCCCAACCAGAAAATAGAAAAGCATCCTCCAACTTTCATCCTCTTTTTCTAAGATTGAGTTTATAAAATTCAGTTGGTTTTACTTGCAGTTTCTCTTAGATACTAGGCTATTTATGATCAATATTATTAATAATGCTAATCCTTTTTACAAGTAGGGATATAAGGCTCTCAGTAGATAAAATATTATTAATGCTAGTAGGACTTCTAGGCCAGCCCACAAAGGCCTGTTTAATCCATAGTGTCTCTGAAACAGCAGTTTCTAAGCCCTGAAATCTGCTAAGCCTCTATGAGCCTTGAGACGGACTCTGGGGATATGGAGGGAAAGAGGACACCAGTTACTAGCAATTCTAGAGCTCCATGAAAGAAAGATGTTTTAAGAGGTGAGTTCTAAGTTCTGCCATTCTTGTGATGAGCATGAGACTGGGAAGATGGGAATGTAGTGGAGCCTTGGGGACCATTAGAGGGAACAGCTTGCTCATAAGCCACTTGATGCGACTGGCTAGAATAGGTCCCTTTTCCTTCCCCTCTGCATATGTCCCTTTTGAAAGTATGTGCACTTAAGCAGAAGACACAAGTTACTCTGCTAGAGGAAGGCCTTTCTTTCTAGACTCTAGAGGTAGCTGTGCTTTGGGCTAGAATTTCTGCATAAACATTCCATCCCAAGAGGAAAAAAGGAAAGAAGGGTTCAGAGGGAGAATTGGTACAGAAGCCTTCTGGGAGCAGGGGAGTGAAGTCAACCTGTGGAGGTGATGATAGATATGGATTGCTGGAGAAAAGGATGGATGGTATTCAGCGAATGAGAAGGCAGGAAGGGAGAGAAGAGAAAACACAAGCTACTTGCCTGATGGTGAGGGACATGAACATTCTGCTATTTCAAGGACCAGATTCTCTGACAAGTATTCCCAGAGCTCATAGCTCAGTAGAAGGACCAGTTGCTTCAGCTAAACCTTTCTAGAGAAAATCAGTTTTTAGAAAGAATATTCTGGCTGCACAGTTAAGAAAAGTTTGAAATCCATAAAATATCAAGTTATATAAACAATTACATTGCAATGAGCGGTTTTCATGAAATGAGCTAATACGGAATGCTCCGCAAAAGCGTTTTCATTAAAATTCCAACAAAGAGGACTGACTGAAATTAAACCCAAGGTTCTTTCCAAAGAGTTGTACAAATATCATTCACGCAGTAAGAAGCACAGGAATTCTGATGAGAACACATTTTTTCAAGAATTCACCCTCCCTTCCCTTTCACTCAGGAGGTGGCCTTTTATTTGGACTGTTGGATGTAACCAATGAACCGAATACTTGAAAGCAATTTGCTATTTGGAGAAGCGGTTATTGATTCTCCCAGCATGTATGTATTGCGAAAATTTTATTGTTTAACTCTACATGTGGATGATTTTTGCCTTACACTACTTTAAGTCAGGCAGACTGGGTGAAATATGGTGAAATATATGAATTCTTGCTTTATTGAAGTCTTCAGAGGAATTGAAAAGCTGTTTAACAGGTCTGAAAGGTGACTTGAGTTTAAAATAGTGCATGTACTTCTCAGAAGATGTCTGGTTAGGTGAAGGATATTTTTTATAAGTATGTGCTTTATTTTGGGGGAGGATGTTTGGAGATAAATTCCCTATGCTTTTTACCCAGTACCAAGAAGACAATGGAGGTGACTGATAAAACACCAAGTTAAATAAATGTATGTCTGGATCTTGTTTAAAATTATCACTACTTGAGTTATTGGTGGTTTATTGTTTTCAGAACTACAAAGCCCAATCAATGTATTATTTATATCATCTTAGCATTTATTGGCCGTATAACCTAAATTTGCATTCTTGAAATAAAAGGAAGCTTCCTCCATCATTGATGGAAAGGAGGAACAGAGGGAGTATGGTATCAGGTATACACATACTCTCTGAACGATCTTATGCATTTGTATTATTTTTCACTAAATAATAAAAGTTTAATTAAATAATGTTCAACTCTTGGGCCAGTCAAGTAGCACGTTGGTTAAGAGTTGGCTTGGGACACCAGCTCTGAGCAGCAGGGCCCCGGTTTGGATCCCACATGAGGGCCAGTGATGCTGCGCCCTCTACAGCTAAGATGGTGAACAACAGCTCAACCTGGAGCTGAGCTGTCGTGAGTCACCGGTGACATTGTAGGCTGCAGTGGGGCTGGCCCGCAGCTGGCGTGCACTTTTGTGAGCTGCTGTGAGCCATCGTGAGTGGCTGTCCAATGGCTGGCGAGCAACTGCCTCACCCAGGAAGAGCGCAATGATAATACCAACATGGGCCGGTGAAGCGACGTCCTCCACAACTAGACTGAAGAACAAAAGGACAGCAAGTTGTCTGTTCCCCTTCCCTTATACCCCAACGCTGTTCCCCTCCCCCAATTCCCCAATAAAATCTTAATACTAATAATAATAATGTTCAACTCTTTGGGTAGGTGAAAATGAACAAAGCTTTTTTGTTTTTTAAATTTTAGTTGACATACAATATTATATTAGTTTCAGGTGTACAGCATAGTGATTAGACATTTATATACCTAACAAAGTGGTCACCTTGATAAGCCTAGTACCCATCTTGAACAAGAGCATATGAGGGTAACATCTCTTCTGGGTATGTTTAAGGATATACGTAAAGTGGTGAAAGTACATACTGCTAAATGTTGCCCTTCAGATCCTGGAAATGTTGGGTCCACCCCAGTCCAACCACCTCCCTTCCTCTTTTCCCCTAGCAATATCATCGCCCAAGTAAGGTTCATTCTAGCAGAAAGTCTGCTATTTTGAACCAATCTGAGCAGACTTTGTAGCAAAAGAAAATGATTTATCATTCCCAATCATCATGCGTGAGATGACCACTGGGAGAAAGTTTGCTGATAAATCCCCAGCCACAGGGGAGAATTTTAATTTGTGACAAGGAAAACTTCTTTCTTCTTAATGGATAAACCCTTACCTATATGGGTTTATGGTGGGACACAGGCTGTATGGATATTTATCAACTTGAATGGAGGAGTCTTTCTCATATATAGCTGTTTTATTTATTTATATATTTAAAAACTTTTTAAAGATTTTATTGGGGGAATTGGGGAAGGGAGCAGCATTGGGGAATCAGGGAAGGGGAACAGACAAGTTGCTGTCCTTTTGTTCTTCAGTCTAGTTGTGGAGGATGTTGCTTCACTGGCCCATGTTGGTATTATCATTGCGCTCTTCCCAGGTAAGGCAGGTCGGCCACCAGCTACTGGATGGCAGCTCATGGCAGCTCACACCGCCGGCCACTCACACTGGCTTCCGGCCACTCACAGTAGCTCACAGCAGCCCACTGCAGCCTACGCCATTGCCAGCAACGCACGGCAGCCCAGCTCCAGGTCGAGCTGTTGTTCACCATCTTAGCTGTAGAGGTCAGTGTCACTGGCCCATGTGGGATCCGAGTTGGCGGCTCTGCTGCTTAGAGTTTGCACTCCCAAGCCAGCCCTTAACCAATAAACCACTTGGCCAGCCCTCATATATAGCTGTTTTAGAAGTAAAACTCCCTTTGTCCTCATTTGGGGTGGGCAATTGATGGAGAAAAGAATCAAGTTAAATAGTTTTCACAAACAGCTGCATTTTTGGCTTTGATTTTTTTTTTTAACTGGTAAATTATTTCTCTTTCAGGGCCCATTGTTGATACAGAAGACTGTCATATGAAATAGAGAGAGTAACAGAAACCAAAGAGAGGACTCCAGCGTCTAACCAAAGGCATGCCACAAGGGATGAGAAGGGGCAGAAGTATCAAAGAATGAATGAACGGTGCAAGAGACAGCTGTGCATGGACAGGTAGCAGTATAAGAAATATTTAATTCCCTGTGGTGATTATTGGCACGTGAATCTCGTGAAGGACATTGCCCCAATTTCAGGATTGTGTGTTAAAATTTTTCAAAGACTGCACAGCAGCACACCAGTCATGCAACTAACATAAACTGTTAGAGTTCTAAACTGTTACACACTTTGGTGATTAACTGCTTGGGGTCCCTGCTGCTGAGTTTCTTGAGAACATCTCCAGAGAGTTAGCAGTAACCTTGACTGAGGCAGCTTTCAGGGTGTGAGATCCATCACCTGTAAGGTCACCTTGGAATTCAACCTCCAGTCCAGTCTAGAGCAGGTCACCTGGAATTGAAATTCTTCTGAGACACAAGAAAAGGAAGGAGTTATTGATACGAAGGAGGATGCAGAGTAAACTTCTTCCTCTTTGCTCAAGGAAGAAACCAGATTTAAAGGGGTGGTGAGAATCCTGGCAGAATAATGTTTTTAATATATTCATTGATTTTCCCCCTTTGGCAGCTCCTGCTGCTCTGACTCTGCCCTGCCCACTCTCATTCAGACATCATTTATTGTATCAGGCGGGGAAAAGGAGTTTTACCAGAAAAGAGGAGAAAAAGGCTTTGATTTTCTGAAGTCAAAACCCTAAGGACATTTGACATAGAAACTATAAGATGAGTTGGAGCAAGGCTTCTAGCCTCTGGTAGAACATGCCGTTTTCTGGGAGTGCTGGTGGGGAGGTGAGGAGAGGGCTTGATCTGGGGGCTGGGGCGGGGGGGGGGGGGGGGGGGGGGAAGAGGTCTTAGATGTTGGTGGGGCATGAGAAGGAGAGAAGGACAGCACAGTGCGAGTGTTAGAATGAGTCCTCTGCGCTCAAAAGCACCAGAATAGTAACAAAGGACCCACAACTCTTGATTTGCATCTGGAGTGGGGACAGCCTTGTAGGACTGAGCCCTGAACGTGTGTGGGCTCTGACTCTAGCTCCAGGCAGATGGTGTCAGAATTGAATTGAATTATAGGACACCCAACTGATGTCAGAGAATTAGAGAATTGATTGCTAGGGGGAAAAACAAAACAAAGCAAAAAAACCCCCACGTTTGGGGTCAGAAGTGTTTAATAAAAATAGTTCAGACCTCTTGCCACCTTCCCTATTTTCCAAGGCATAATTCAAATTTCACCCAGGCACCTTTCCAGACTATCATTTCCTCTGTCCTTGCATTCCTTTAGCACTTCACGCATTCATTCCAGCCTGTTAGCAAAGTCAGTCTGGTATTACAGGTTAAGTTAGTGTCCACTGCAGGGTATGAACCCCAGACGTGCTCTGTCATGTGTCCTCACAGCACCTGCTGTGAATTTAGCACCCACGGCTGGCAGACATTTTGGTGCCTGGTATGTAATAAAGCTTCAATACCTATGTGTCAAAGTAAATTGAATTTAAAATTCTCACAAGACAGATCCTTCCCTCTCCCATTGTATGGCCTTGGGGATATGGCTAAGCCTGCATCTGTTTCTCGCTCTGTAAAACGGTGGTGGACAGTGAAGGCTACTTCATAGGTTGTGGTGAGGAGTACCTGAGAAACTAGAGATAAAGGGCCTGGAATGTAGTGTGTGTTCAATAGACGGCAGCAAGAAAAACAGTACAGCGTCAATATTTATTTCAGCCATCAGCACTGATTTGCAGTGATTTGTGCTTCTTGGTGTTCTTGCTTCCAGCCTCTGTTTTTTGGTCCAGAAGAAACAGAAATTCACGGGAGACAATGAGTCCCAAACTCCCCCTTGATTATGAACAAGAGGTCCCCGGATTTCAGAGGTGAGTCAGAGATGACCTGGGCTTTGCTATATAGACTGCATTCTGAATTCCTGGCACAATTAAAAGGCCAACAGCTAACAGTAGAATCATTAATTATCTACTTGCACCCAAACAAGATGGAGGATCTTAATGTTTATCTAAAATTCAGAAGAACCTTTGCTAAAAATGGAGGTGATTAGGAGAGACTGTCAGGGCTCCCTCACAGCCATGAAAACCACTTCCTGAGCCCTTTGGTACAGGCATGTTCATATCTTCTGAGCATAGGCCCTCCTTTGTACAACCTCCCACTCTAAGGCTATAAAATATCCCCACATCAGGGAACCAGAATTATGCCCACATCACCTTGTTCCTGAAATGGGCCTGGAAAGCTGTGGCTGGAGAATGGAGGATGAGATCACCTTCTCCAGAGCCTCAGACCAGGCAGCATTTGGATTGTTGGAAGGTGGGACAAAGAAACTCTCATCCTTTGTTTCCTGCATATGATCTCACCATGCCCATCCCTGCTCCCAGTCATTTCAATGTCCTTCATAGCCCTTAGTTTAGCCATATTGAGTACAGGATGGTGTGAATATTGTAGTTTGCATGAATAAAATTGTGGTCTGTTCATATAAATTGTTTTCTGCTGCAAGCAGAGTTGGGGTTCTTGATCTCAAATTTGTGTGAGTTTGTGCCAGTAGAGTTGTGCCTGCATGAACTGGGAAATGCTTAATGTCCTTTTCCACCTAATGATTTACCTAGATGACATATCACGTTCATCTATAGATCTCCTTTAAAAATACAAGTGCCTATTTCTTCCCAACTCCACCCCTAACCCTGAGAGTCTGAGTCAGTGGGTCTTGGGATAGCCCACTGGAATCTACATTTTAAAATTTTCTACAAATTATTTTACTTCACAGCCAAAGCTACAAAGTACCTCTGTATTATAAAGCTGTATAGCTCTTCTTAATAAGAACAGTGAGAGATGAAGTGTGTCTTCTTCTGAGATGAAAACTCTTGGCTGACCTTTCCATTTTTGCTCTGTTTTCTATCACTTGAGGGGCGTAAAATGGGAAGTTAGCTGAAATGAGAAGATAAGCAATACTTCCAAAGTAGACAAATTGGGCATAAAATAGAAAGAAGTACAAGGGAGGCTCTCACAGCCAGCTAGGAAAGCAGGCTGGGGAACATCAGGTCAAGGGTACATATAACCTAGGACAAAAAGGAAGATTGAGTAACTGTATCTCATAAGTTCTAGAACATCCACATTTCACGTGTTATCATCCCAGGCATGTGTTGGTTGGTGCCAGTGAGATGCATTTGTCATTGTCCATGGAGAACTAATTTTGTTATTATTCATGGTGGCATAACTGGACAACTTTAATCCCTCAAAGTTTCGGTCAGCAAACAATTTAAGTGGTATTTGAAGAAACAATAAAATCCTAGTTGTTGTGTGAAAACCCACTGTTGTCATTTTCTGGTTAGATAGAAGTAATAACATCAAAGCCTTCACATCAAGCGTTACTTACTTGGAAGAAATTCTGCAGCAAATAGTGGAAAGCTTTTTTAAAGAAATGCTGCATTCTCAATGCTCTTAATGACACAGGCACAAGTATCGTGTGAAAAAATAGGAACAACCATGCCAGTTCTGAGTTGCAAAGTGACCCAGGAGTGTTGGATGTAAATGTGAAGAAGTTTGGGGTACAGTTTAATTGGCAGCATTTTTTTCTCTCTTAATGGCAGATAGCATTGATGCATCTTACAACTTACGGTGTGTTAGATTTAGTGTAATATGATATTTGTGTTGGTCTTTACAAAGGAGAATATTAAATAAAATTCTTGACTCTAGATAGTCCCCTGAAAAAAAGCATGTATAAAACTATAGAGGGGACCCAGGGAATCACAGATCTGTTTGTATCTAATTCCCATAAAGGAAGTTTTCTCTGGAAAAAAAGCAGAACCACCATACATTTAAACAATTATAACATTTTTAAAAGAAAAGCAGCTGCATTGTATTAAGAAGGAATTCTTCCTGTTTAATATAATTGTTTGAAGAGCTAAGCAGGCACGTGAACAGGAACCGATGGGTGCACCCAAGTAGGCTTTTTAGAAGTCTGTCACAACTGGAGATCAGTTGACATTCCCCTCCTCTTGGGCTGGAGTCCCCCTGAGATGCAGTCATTTCCTCTATATTGAATACCTCATAGTAGAATTCCTCAGGACCCGTAACCCACACATCCTATCCCTCTTCCACAAGCTGCCCTTCAAATATCTCAAAATAGTTTTCATATAAACCTCATGCTGCTCTTCCTCAGGCTAAACAGCTCTTTCTCCAAAAATTGATCATAATCTGTTTTTGGGAGGCCTTCCCATCCTTGAGTCTCTCCTATGAATACCCTCCAGTTTGTCTAGATCACTTCTAGCTGGGTAACATCCATCCAGTTTGTCTAGGAGTCTTAAGTTTATGCCTATTTCCCAGGCTTAATTATCACCCACAAATCTTTTCACAAAAAAAAAAAAGTGTCCTGGTTGGGGTGACTGGTTAGCACAGTTGGTTAGAGTGTGGTTATGATAACACCAAAGTTGTCATTTCAATCCCCACATGGGCCACTGTGAGCTGCACCCTCCCTAAAAGAGTCAACGATGCCATTGTAGCATGAAAGCAATGTGTAACCAATGACCATGGCAGTTCCCCAATAAAATAAAATAAAATAAAAAGTGTCCTGGTTGAACAAAGTTATATATGGCCAAGCTACTTACAACTGAACCGGATGCCGTATCTAAGGGAGCTAACTGACTAGTAAGAATCAGCAGGGCTCTCACCTCTCTAAGTCTCAGTGTCTCACAAATATAGCTCAGCAGATGTATTACTGCCTCAAGCCACACTTCACACCACTGCCTCACGTTAAGTTTGTAGCTGATTGCTGATCCTCAAGTTTCCCCACAAAGCCATATCTTCCCCAGGCAGTATTGGTCTGGTAGCTCTGTGGCATTTGTTCCTACTACATATCAAGGCGTTCGAGTTCAACCCACTCATTGTTCAGTGTGTCCATGACTTTGTCATCCAAATGCTGCCTTATCCTTTCCAATTTCTTGCTATTAGAAGATATAACCTTGCTTATCTGTATCATTATCCAAGTTCTTGATTAAAAATATTGCATAGGGTTGTCTTATGTCACATCACCTCTTTTCAGTTTGACCTCCATTTGCATCCTGTAGTCATTTAACATCACAAGCTCAATTGTAATATCATCCAGGCCATATATTTCTGTCTTTTGCATGATAATATCTCAAGAGACCTTAGCAAATGTTTATTGACACTTAAGATATCTAAAGTAGAATGCCTTTTCCTGATCTATGTATCTAGATCCTGGACACAAAATTTAAAAAGTAAAGAAAAAAAAGGAGTGAAGTCTAATATGACTTCTTACTGAGTGCACTTCTTTTTAGCCCCTACAAGGCCTTGGAAATGTAATGACTGACACACACACAGTAGGTCAGTGCTCAATGACTATCTGTTGATCTAAGCACACGTTTTCATTGAAAAAAGAAGTGGAAGATCTTGCTGTGAAAAAAGCCTGTTTCCTTACACCTGTCAAGGACATCTGCTTTGGCAAGTCCCGCACACAGCTTAAGTCCACATCAGAGTATGAATTGACTATTTGGTAATCATGTAAATATTATTGCTGAAGTGAAAACATGATTGAGGCTGGAAGTGTGAACTGAATGCGGAAAGTGCAAGCTCTTTAATGTAAGCAATTAATTAGGCATCATCTTTAAGTCTGGTGATAGATCCCAGGATGTTAATCAAATGAAATATCACCAGCTGCTGAGAGAACAGGCTCTTTCAGGAAGCATTCCCTGCACAGAAAGGCAGATGGAGTTGGCATTGAAATGGATTTCCTGAGGCTCCAATAGCTAAGGACACCTAGCGAGGGATTGTGGGAAATTGCTTTGTTGGCACATCCAAAGCATATCAGATAAACACTGTCTTGAGTCACTTGGGGGGGGGGGTGAAAAGAGGCTAGTTTTAGAAGCCAGGCAGAGCTGGGTTCAAGTCTTGGTTCTGTTTCTTTCTAGATGTGGAAAAAATCACATGATCTGTCTGAGCCAACTTTCTTCAGCTTTAAAATGGAGGTGATAACTCCAACTTTGCATGGCTTTTGTCAGTGTAAGAGACTATGTAGATGGCACCCAGGGCAATGCCCGGCCTGCCGGAAGGATGCTCTGTGACAGTCAGGTGGTAACGATGGTGATTGTCAATGATGAGTGGCTTCTGGCCCACCCTCTGCTGCTGATGTATCCTCTTTGACCTTGGACATACCCTTAGCTTTTCAGAGTTTGCTCTTCCCCATCTCTGAAAAGACAAGAATGGACTACATGGAGTCAGGGCTAAATGCCCATCATGACAGGGATGGGAATTAGGGCAATGCTGTGAGAAGTGGAAAGAGATATGGGAAAAGTGCACTGATATGTGAGAGGGTGGTCTGGTCACTGAGGGTGATGTCCCTCAGGGAGGTCATTTTCCCCACCCCCACCCTGCACACCCCCTGGGGCAGGTTGGAGGCCACCTGAAATGAGCCGTCACCTCAAGTGCTCACCACCACACCTGCCTGGCTGTCATCACATATCTGCGCAGGGCCGGGAGACACAGCACCTTGACAAGGGCAGCTTGGAGGAAAAAGTAAATTTTGGAAGGGAGGGAGAGCCTGTCTTGAACTATTGGTATATTTAAAATTAAATATTGCAAATTAAAACATGGTTGATGTAGAGAGTTATGAACATACACTAGTTCAAAGCTACCACTATTAACATTCTATGTATGTTATTTATATATAAACCAAAAATGACCTCACATTATCAGCCTCTGTTATAGTATACTTTTCTGGGTATTTCCCCCCCTTCTTTGTCATTGCTGTTTTAAGATTTTCTGATTTCTTGGTTATTTAGCAGAAGTCTCCAAAATAGGATGTTTGCCCCTCTGACATAATCTATCAGGGAGCAGGAAGAAAATTTTAGAATTT